TTGTCTTTTGCCGAAGCTCAGACTCTGGCACAGGATCGGGAACGTTGGAAGCACTGTCTGGCGCGTGTGCGTCCGCGACCCGAAAGGAGAAGCGGCGATGGAAGATGAAGATGAAGATGGAGTAGCGTTCACGAGTGATAATAGGAGGATGTCAAAATTTCATAATGATGGAAGTCTGTGGTGATGAACAAGAAGCCGGGCTATAGTACGAAACTATCCATCATCAAGATTGCACACGAATTTACCATTACCCCTGGTGAAGAATGATGGATATTGAATGAAAGAGTGTGGTTTCAAATAGAAAGAGGAGGCAAGATTTTTGTAGAGGATTGTTAGTGTAATGATGTTCGATAAAGAACTACGGTAACCAAATAAACGGTACATTTCGCGTCGTTCCAATAACATATGTGAAAGTTTACAGACAGCAAGCCTTGTCGATTCAGTCACTTTAAAAGAAGACATGGGGATTGAAGATGACAGTAAAGTCCATCTACTGACTGCATTAGTGATAAAAAGAATGGATGCGAAACTGCAAAAAAAATTGACAAGAAGTTATACGGGGCGACAGAAGAACTATTTGAAGATCAGAGAATGAGTAAGAAGAAGAAGAAAAAGCACACAGATTGAGAGAGGAACAATTTTTTGTCAGAAAGTGAGATATAGCTGAAAAAAGGTTAATATAAGGGAAACACTTACTCAAATATCCAAGGATAGCGGCTGAGAAAAGAGCAAAAATCTGTCATATGAATGTGCGTTCGGTTCGTATCATCGCGACGATACACTTCGTAAAGTCTAGCGACGCTAAATCTTGAAGAACTAGAAATTACGGCATCGTTAAGACGTAGGAGTAAACGGGTGAGTTGAACCGGCTGGAGGAACACGTCGTCGGCAGCGGTGATGTAAAACAAGTGACTGCGGCTCTTAAAAAACTCCCGCAGTCGCAGTATGCTACGTCCCATGTACGGCACCCAATCAAGTCTACACCTAGAAGAAGAACTGCGACGTTTCTATAACAATCGAATACCGAAAAAATACAAAATTATCTAATATTAAACAAACTAAAATCTAAACTACAACCAAAATTATCATTCACATAACATTTGCTAAATCGATTAACATAAAAATTTGAACGGTTTACTAATCAGATCTAACTATGCAAAGTAATAGCAGTGAGCCACGGAGGAGTGCTTCAAACCATGATAACCTTGCATTATACACCAGTACATACTACGGTCAAAACAATGGCGATGTACACCGATTTATGTTAATAAGTGCTTCTCTCGTTTGAAACCGGATTTTGCATTACCCTATGCTCGCAGTAACTGCATAGGGTCATGCAAGGCAACAAAGACTCCAATATATTTCAGCATCTGTATTGCAAATGCATAATGTAACACTGCTTTTGCCAAAATTATGTACCGCTGTGAGAGCCTTCGCTCTAAACTGATGAATGCAGTGGTTGACTAAGTGCGGCGAACAGTTTAAACGTTTCGCATATGGGAGAGGCTGAATGTTGGCTCATAAGTGCTGAAAGATTTTATTAAATTCTAGATTCTGCTTGCACTTCCACTACGCTACACCGGTATACTTCTGCAGGTCTAAGGAGAAAATAATTGGCTCAGATTCAGCGCCTTCTCAAACTACCTTGTCCACTCTGTTACTGCAGCACTGGCGAGTTTGAGTTTATCCAAATCAGACGCTTGATAAACACAACAGTTGCTGTGGACATTTCTACTCTAACCAACGCAACTTACTCACTGTACTAATGTTTTCCAACGATGCCTTTCGAAGTGACCAAGCACAAGATACGTGTACATCCCTTGTAGATGTCTGACTGAGGCTTCCCGAATGTTAACCCTCCGTTTGCTGCCCGATGCTAATAAAGAATAGCAATTACTTTCGATCAGACTCTGGTCAATCTTATGGTGATCGACCCTTTCATTGCCTAATCTGTAGTGTTACACCTGCACATTTGCTATATTCAGATTTTGCAACTTATCGTGCACCTTTTGCTTAAACTTAGTAAGGTTTACTGACTGAATGACTGGATGAAAGCACTG